TAAACCATGTTGTCTGTACGTGTTCAAATAAACCAAGATGATTAAAAGTGAAAAATCTTTAATTTGTAATGATGAATTAGCAGCACTGTCAGACTGAGGTGGTTTGTCTTAATCATAGTAGGAGACACTATCAGTGCTGGGAGGCTAAGGTTAGAAGTGGTTCACATTTGAAAGGTAACCTGTGGAGGCTAAATGTTACCTGGCCATTTTTAATCTGAAGAGGAAGATTCCTATTTAGATAGATTTGTGTTACACAATGAAGCACAGATTAAAAAACAAGGTCATTTCTGTAAATGTCCTTCAAGTCCCCTATGCTCTAAAATAACACATTTCAGCATCTGTGACTTTCCTATACAAGTTAAAATCTTTTTTGACAGCAACTGTCGATTTGTCTTCTTAATTTGCCTACTCTATACAACACAATGTAAAAGCATGCAGTGCCATAAACAGCCCAGAGACTTAAATCAGAGATGCTAAAGGCATGGGGGAAGGCATTTAAACAACTGCTGAATATTTTACAGATGTTACACTTTAATATTTCACAAGGCCATATGCTACAGTACCTTCACATGACAATGGAATTATTTTGAAAAATCAATCTATTATCCATTATTAAATGTCACATTTATAATTCTATAAAGTACTGTACGTCTTCTGGTAATGCAGGAAACAGGTCATCAAAGGTTTCAATTGAAGAGTGGAAAGGAATAATATATGACTCATCAAAAAATGATTACTGTATGAAACTGGTTTATATGTTAGAATGACTCACGAAAAATGAATAATTTATCCAGGCTATATATAAATGAGTCGCTTGTAAAACCATAACTTACCAAAGTGAGTTATACGTGTAGGATATATAATGTATTAAAAAGTCTGTTTATGTATATTTAAGGATTAAATTCCTTAAAATGTTGGGTTCTAGTAAAGAATGCTTTATTTCCTCAATCAGAAATCATAATTAATACAAAAACAACAAAATGCAAAAAGGGAGTATATAGCACTACCTCCTCCTTCAGTCTTTATTCTCTGACTGACTCACACAAAAAACCTCATCCTTGTTTTATTTCTGAAATCAACAAACCCTCCCATTCAAACAGAAACAATGCATTTAACTCATTAGAAATCTCACACCTACAGTCATGTAAGTCATGTAAAATGTGATCTAAACATGTAGCAGAATATTAAATAGTGCAGAATTTAATTATTTTTCCCATACTGTATGTCTATTTTTCAAAGCACACTGGGCAGTATAAAAGTACTGCCAGTAACCACACTTACTGTATGAGCTCACCATTTCTCATACTGTACTGTCACTAAACTGTGATGTCAGCAGCACTCACAAACCGAACATCTGAAGCCTTGCAGAATAGCAATGTAATGTTGATTATTACATGCCAGAAAAGCTAACACAATGTCTACAAATTCAGACTTCCCACATTCTAATCCTGTATGCCTGGAGCAGCAATTACAGTATGTCTAATGAATAAAACTTTACTTCACAAACTGAAGTTAGAAGAACTTTTATTATGGAGATATGGGAAAAAAACTGTGAAGAATAATCAACAAATGGATTTCATCTACAATTCATGTTGTCTTATTGTCGTGTGCTATGTACACTAATGCATTAATAGGTTATTCCTCCATGAGTTGTTGAACATGCACCACACACTATTGGTATACATACTGCATACTGTACAGTACGTATTCTGAGCTTCAAGATGCTAAATGTATAACTACATCAAATTCACAAAGTTATATTCAGGAAAATTGCAATTTTCTGCAGGTACAATTTTATTCAGTTAAATTCATTATGCGGATGAACATTTATCATCAACAGGATTGATCATCATGTCTATTGTGAAAGTCATGTTTTACTACATAAGAACAATAGAAAAGCTTACAAGCAACAGGAGGTCATGTGACCCATTAGTTAAATTCTAATTTAGTTAATACAAAACTATCTGTATCAACACCTTACAACCCACTAACCATTTTCACAGTTAAGCTTAGATTTTATCAAAACCCTAAAGGAGAGAGCTTAAAACTGTCAACCAAAACCCTAAAGAAGGAACTTAAATCATTCAACAGCTGCAGCTCCATCTTTACTTTGGCCTCCAACTCCAACATTCTGTATAATACTGCATATTCAGGGATAGGAACAGTAAAGAAAAGCTAACAGTCTCTTGCCATACAATATCGAACCTTCTCTCCCTGAATGGGAGGTACCTACAGTATATGTAATGATCTGTGTGCAAGATGTCCAGTTGTCCAGTAAAGGTATTGAAATAGCAAGCTAAGAGATGGCCAAAATGGCTTAGTATCTCAGAATAAGGTATCAGCCATAACCCGTGCTTTGACTTCCAAAGCCAAAGAAGTAAGCCACTGTTAGTTCTACCTTCATACAAACATCCAGCAATTTAAACCCATTCATTTAAATTCAAAGTTATAAAGAAACTGGACATATGTACAGGACCAAAGACTACCTTTATATTTGAAAACCCTTCATTCCTGGCCTGTGCTGATACTACGGATCTCTTCAATGTTGGGGTCCTTGGTGACGGGGAAGAGTAGTGGAAGTGTGAAGTTCTACTGTTGATGCAGACAAAGTCTTGTTGCATGGTAGCTTTGTGTCTTAGGGGTCCTTAGACAACTGAGGAGTACTGCTGAGGGGGATGGATAAGGGGGATGGGGGTTGTAAAGATGGCAATTGGCTATTTTGTTTCATATTTTATTATGTTTGGGAAAATAATAAAATGTAAAAAAAAAATAAACTTCATTTAATAAAATCTGTTCATCTTATGATTACATGTGCATGCTTAAAAAAACAAAGCTCATCAAAACTTCACCAATAAAAGCCACTTCCTTCATGGGAGTTCCAGAACACTTCACACATACAGTACAGTATTCACCCACACTGGTGAACATTGGTAGAAACAACTGTTTTTTTCAGCTCCAAAACACTGGCACAGACTAAACAGTACATAACAATAGCTTAAGGAAGGGTCTAAAAAACAAATACAATCAGATATGAGCTTGCACTTCACCCATCAAAAAACAATCTTTTATGAGCTAGGGTTGCATTTTGTGCAACAAAAAGGAAGATGTGTTCCTCTCAGCAGCAGATCTCGTTGTATTTCTATAGAGAAAAAATCCTGCACATTCTTTGTGAGATCATGTAACTTGATTTCTGAGCCCAGTATCATGATGCCCAGTCTTATTCTTTGTAAAAAACAAAGCACTCCTTGGCTTGCAAAGAAACATTGATAATTTATATGATAATCAGCGATGTCCCAGAAAGTTTACCTCATACCTTATTGATAAGCTCCTGAATGTTTTTTTACATTTTATAAAACATCCATTGAGCTTAATAGATATTGCATGTTCCTTATTTTGCATAGTTTGAGGAGAAGGGCAAATCGTTTTCTGTTAGTATACATCAGTCAAAAAGTATTAATAAATCAATCATTCATTGCTTAGAAAAAACATTACTAATTTAATCTCACAATGTGTATCTTTTATTCTTCAATTTACAATACAGATGGCATAGGGAAAAAGCATAACAAAGTGATTTTCCATCAGCAGCCATAAACTCGAACAGCAGATAAAATCTCTGCCACCCTGATTACACAACCATGCAATAACTGACATTATATATACTGTATATATATATATGTTGAGCATATTTTGTGTATTTGGATATTTGAGCATATTTGGTTCAAAATCTCTTTAGTACTTTAATTGTTCTGTCACACCATAAAAAAACACACCATATAGTCACCACTAACATAATTGAAAAAAATACTTTAAAACTAGATTACAAATAAAAGTTACATTCATTTTGGCCTAGTTTCACTTTTTAAAAAAATTCTGAAAATCTATACTTTTCTTAGCATTCTTTATGATGCAGTGAAATTGGAATTAATGAATAAGAACTATGTTTGTAAATGTAATTCTTTATTTTGAAAATTAGCCTTCTTAGTAGGAAGTTGCCTAAAGCATTTTATTTAGGAGAGATTTTGCAGCATGCTATTAAAATCATTCATGGTACCAAGATTTAAACACAGAGATGTTATGTCTGGAAAATACATAAATAGACATTTTATAATATATATTTTTATATATAAATATAAAAGAATTTTTAGACAAAACCAAGACATTATTATTATTCAGAAAGAGAGCAACACTGATATTCAAATAAGAGTGGAGAAAGTAATGCAAATATATGCAGGTTATAAATATAGCTTGTTTTGCTTGTTGACAGCTTAAGTAGAGTGGTTTACTAGCCAAAAACTATTAATGTTTTCCTTTAAAACAACAAAAATGAGCGTGCATTATGGAGATGTATTATGTGTTAATGAGAATTTTTTAAATAAAAAATGAAATAAAAAACCACCTAACCAGTAATATAATGATGCAGATTTTGTGTGACAAGCCTGGAAGATATTTTTTTTTTCTAGCAGCACATCTTTATATAATTACCTAACTTAGAATTTGCATCTAAATAATAGTTATTTCATCTCTGTTGGCTAAGATCATAATATATAAATATTACCCTTGCTAATCTGAAAGAGATGTGACACCAGGGAGAACAAAAAATAAATGGGTTGTATAAAATAGCAATGTATACCTGCACAAATATAGTTCATATGCTTTATTTTTTCAACATAAGCCATACAAACATAACTAGGAATCATCACAACTAGTTTCAGCATACTGCCTTTCTCTTGAAACTTTTTTGGTAACATTTGTTTGTATGGTCTTTTTCATAAGGTCACAATAAACATTACCTCTGAGCTAACTGTTGCTGAGCAACCAATGCCTGTAGTGCTGCACCATTGAGCAGATAATGTTCCAGTGACTGGTTGGAGAAGCAAGAAAACAACATCTTACCTGGGCCTTGATTTAGAAAAGAAAGCCTGTCAGCCTGCTGCTGTCTTGATTGCAAGCAGAGTTTGCTGAACTGGTTGAGCTATAATGGTGCTTTTAAAAAAGGATACGTCCAGGGACCACTGGTTTCCTATTCACCAGAGCGAAGGACAATTCACTTTGAAGAAACACCACAGAAGCCTTGACAACATGCTGTCCAAAACGCAATGTAGACATACTCATTCTTCCAGGACTGAAACAAAACAAGAAAAATATTCTGTTAATAACATAAACTACTTAACCTTAGATATGTCACAGTATCAACACACTACAATAAACTTATGTGTCTCATGTACTGTATGAAACAAACAACTGGCATTGTTCTCTATTACTCAGAATGATATTCAGCGCCTCTACACAGGCACTACCCAAGTTATGTAAAACTCAGTTGTGTGAAATGCAACTCCGCAAATTCCATTTCATGCAAACCATGGCAAATGAATGAAAAAAAATATTTGCATAATCTTTTACAGATATAGTATGTATAGGCAGGTGGAAACGTCATTAAACAGCACTTCATTAAATAACTTGTGCTATTTAATTCATGAGCTTTTATTTTTATTTCTACAGTGTTTAATGATTTTTTTGATTTTTTTATTTTAATTCAGAATACACTATAGTCATTATATTACAAAATGCATTCATGTGAACTAAGCAGTGCACAGGATAGTACAGGAATGTACTACCATCAGAATATAAAAAAGCAAACATGCACTTCCAGAGACAAACTCTTATGCAAGTCGAGGATTGCCTTTGATTTGACTTATTCGGTTCTTGCATATGATTCCATAGAAGAGTGTTACAGATTTACACTTCACAACAGATTATTAGATTATAAATGTATTATGCATATACGATATTTTTACACATGGGTTTACTAATTGTTGCAATTACCATTGTATGCTCTACTGTATATGGGAATAGCAATATATTAGTTGAAATTACTGGAGCAATCCCTATTATTCTATTCAGTAATTATTGGAGTACACGACAATGCCCCTACTTCCCCGCTCCTTATCTACAAAACAAATAGGAAATTGGAAACAACATGCACAGTTAAAATAAAAGCAATAAAATACAATAAAGAAAAATGTAAACACCACAAGCTTGTTATGACAGAATTTTAGGTTGTTTTACAGTAAGGACAACAAGGGTCCTGAATAAACAAAATATTTTGCTGTTTCCAGCTCTAAAGGATAGATTTATAGTTACTTTAAAGTAATGGCAATTCTAATTTCAGTTATACTACCTTAAATTCCTCTTGTGGTGGTATTATTTGTATCTTCAGCTTATTCCTGTTCTCAGGCCAAGAAAACATTTTCTGTTTTTTGTGTGTATAAAGATGTGTGGCTGCATCATGCAAAGATCAAAAGAGCTCTCTGAGGCCCTCAGAAGAAAGATTGTTGATGCCTATGAGTCTGGGAAGGGTTTTAAACCCATTTCAAAGCACTTTCCGAAAGATCATCTACAAATGGAGAAAATTTCAAACCTCTGGCAATCTATCTAGGCCAGGTCATCTCACCAAATTCAGACCAAAAGCTGACCAAAGGATGCTGCAGGAAGTCTCCAAGGACCCCAGGATAACATCAAGGGATTTACAGGCAAGTCTTGGCTCTATCAATGTCAAAGCGCATGAGTCAACCATCTGGAAGAGACTGCACAATGTTGCCCTACATGCAAGGTCAGGAAGGAAGAAGCCTCTGCTCTCAAAAAAGAATATAGATGCATGACTGAAGTTTGCCAGACAACACCTAGGTGAAGATTAGGACTATTGGAACAAAGTGCTCTGGATGGATGAGACAAGGGTAGAGCTGTTTGGCCACAATTCCAGACGTCATATTTTGCGAAAACCAAAAACTGCCTTGACCAAAAGAACCTCATACCAACTGTAAAGCATGGTGATGGAAGCATTATGGTTTGGGGGTGTTTTTCTGCCTCAGGGCCTGGCCAGCTTACCATCATAAAGTCAACCATGAATTTCGAATTGTACCAGAGAGTACTTGAGAAGCATTTGAGGCCATCTGTCAAAAAGCTGGAGCTGAACCATAAGTGGACCTTGCAACAAGACAATGGCCCAAAACACTCAAGGAAATCCACAAAAGAATGGCTCAAAAAGAGGAAATGGAGGGTTATCAAATGGCCAAGTCAAAGCCTAGATCGTAACCCCATAGAAATGCTGTGGGGGGACTTGAAGCGGGCAGTACATGTAGGAAAGCTCTCAAACATCACACAGTTGAAGGAGATGTGTAAGGAGAAGTGATTTCTGCCAAAGGGGGCAACACCAGCTATTAAAGCTAGGGGGTGTACTTATTACAGCAGACAATTGCATTTCTGACTTTTTTATGTTGAATAAATTATTGCAAAGAATAATTTTCATTGTTATTTGTTAGATCACCTTTATCTATCAATATTGTTGAAATGAAGATCAAATAATCCATACATGCAAATGAGGCGGAGCAGTGGCACTGTGGCTAAGGATCTGAGCCTGTGGCTGGAAGGTCGCCGGTTCAAATCCTGCGGCCGCTAGAGGGATCCTACTCCCTTGGGCCCTGAGCAAGGCCCTTAACCCCAGTTGCTCCAGGGGTGCCGTATAAATGGCTGACCCTGTGCCCTAACCCCAAGCTTCTCTCTCCCCGTCAGTGTGCCTGTGTCTCATTGGAGAGCAAGTTGGGGTATGCGAAAAGACAGATTCCGATACAAGAAATTGTATATGGCTAATAAAGTGATCGTATCTTATTTTAACTATGAAAAACACACACCTTTCCTTACTTTTTCACAATACTGTATATAAATTAAACATCAGAAACATAATGCATTAACATTCAACTGACTATCCTGAACAAGATGATTATATTATAAAACATGTTTTTTATGGATACACTTAAATTTAAAAAAGGAACAAAAAGCTAAATATTACAACAAACATAACACCAAGAACTCTCTATAATATGAAGTATGTGAGCATGAGAAGCAAGCAGCCGTTATGCTCGGTTTCGAATTTTCTTTTCTTTCTGGAAGACACAGGCATTCATGGATGGAATATGAGATCAACCTCCTACAGTATGTCAATAAGAAAACAATATTTATTTAATAAATATTCTTTTAGTTCATAAATTGTTTTGTGTTGCAGTAAGAATGTGTAACCATGATTTATACAAAAACTCTAAATATCCATGTAAATACATTAATTTACTTGTTAGGAAACTGTCTTCAGATCCTTCTTTGCTTTGCCCTCCTGGGTGGACATTCAAGAGTTTCTGAACCTTTTGGCACCTGTTTTACTTCAGTCCATGTTTTAGATCCACAAGTCCCTTCACATTTTGATGCAGTTCATATGAGCCGACCTGCCCTCCTTCTGTTACAAGAGATGCATGGTTGCTGATTACTTCCCTCTTCTGTTCCGTCAGCTGCTTATTTTTCTCACTCTGGCACTTTGTGTTTTTTTTTTCCATGGAAGCAACATATTTGCAGAAGATCAGCTCTCTTTAACATCAGCTAAGGAGCTTTCGCTTCCTGATACACAAATTATCATCCAACCAATCGTTTTCAACTGACTGGTCAGGTGATGAGAGGAAGAACAGTTCCAACTTCTTTCTGGGAACCTGATGATCCAACATCTTGTCCAAATCTGTTTACCTCTTACAATACATACTGTACACCTACAGTACATGCAGAGTTTCCAGTTCAATCTTACCATTCAAATTCATCATTATTTAGCAATAAATTTGCTTTTATATACAAAGCTACTTTCTGATGTTGGAAAAGCTTTCTCCCATTTGAGAAAGTGAAAATGTTTTTTTAACAACTAATTAAATAACACTAGCAAAATGTTTTGACAAATAGACATTCCACAGTTCCACAGATATTGCACATATTTTGCAGTGTATATATATACACCCCAGACCCGGTTTAACTTGAGTCAGTCTATCTAAAAGGCACGTCTACACTTATAGTTTGACACATACTATCTAAAGATGACATGAATAGCTCAGAAACAAATTCAAATTTTTACTGACATAAGTCATAAGTCACATGCAATATTTATTAGGACTGAAAAGGTCGGTGTGTCAAATATTTATTTCCAACAAAAAAATATTATTGTAGGATATTAATGCTTTTTATGCCACTCTGCAATTGCAGCATTCAAAAGAGAAGGGAGTAATTAGCATCAATGGAAGCCTGAGTTGAAATTGACTAAAAACCAAAATGGCATCTGAACGGAGACTGGATGCATAATGAATGCAAAGAAGAGGGTTAGTAAAACAGCAGAGCAGGAAGTACTGTAATTATAATTTACAGAAACCCATATCCATACACGATCAGCCTGGAATACCTCTTTGGAAGTATAAATGTGGACAGAAAGAAAGATGCCCAGCCTCTCAAGAGTAGTAAAAGTACCATTCCACATGGTCAACGACTTTCTTGACATCTGAAGAGATGGTACAGCATCTGCAATGATGGCATATAAAGCATTGAAAAAATGCGGTAGTTTAAAAAATAACTTGCCTTAGGATACTATGGAAAGGACAAATTCCAAGCTAAAAGACACAATGTTAGCAAATATTTACAGACAGTAAGGAGATATTGTAGTTTCTTGACAACATGTTGGAGGGAAAGATGGAAATTCTGAAAAATAAAGACCAAATAGCAAGTGAGAGGAAGCTAATCTATATTATTTTCCATATCAATCATAAAAATCTGTAGGAAATGTGTGAGAGCCAATGTCTTCACCTCACAAGTAAAGTGAACTAACTGAAATAAATAATCAACATTGGTGATTTCCCCTAGTGAGAAAGATATTTCTGTATAACTCTGTAATCAACCAGATCACCAGATGATTCAGACTTGTACAGTGTGAGCAAAAATCAGTAAATACAGTACAGGATTTAGTATAAATTTGAGTTATTATGCAAGAAGAAGCTATTTAATTAACTACTCAGTTTCAGGTTTCAGGTTTTGTTTGATGGGTGAAAAACACTTACAGTCTTGGGTGGGGCATTTAGCCTGCACATGATCTACTGTAACTCTAAAATGGATGCACGATAATTTAGAGAATTTCTCATGGCTACATTTATCATCGAGGTCCAAGGATGAGATAATTTGCCTCAGTAGGTAGGCCTTCAATTTATTTAGAGTAGAAGCAGAGATAACAGGAGCTGCATTAAGTTTCCAGAAACAAGCAATATGGGTGTT